ATTCTGCATTTTACTTACAGTGCTCAGCTTACTGCAACAAATGAGGATGCGGCGTTCATACAGCATACTGGCGTAGAGATGCAGCATGTTGTTGACATCAACTGCTACAAAATACTCTGTCAGGTTTCTCTGGGAAGAGAGAAAATTTTTGATATTACAATTTTGATATTACAAAAACAAGTGTCCTTAACAAAGAAAAAAACAACCAGATTTCATTCTCCTATTACACTACATCCAGTATGTGGCTTAACAAAAGCAAGCAGTATGTCATCGTATGTCAGAGTACTTTTTAATTGCAGTATCTTTCCCCTAACTTTTCGGGAGCTAGGTCTTGGAATAATAAAATTGATGATGTTTCACATACAGCCTCTTAAATACAAGATACTCCTCTGAGAAAATATATGTTTTACCACTTCTGTGGAAACTTCAAAGCTGCCTAGTAAAGTACTCAAAAAATCTCACAACCAAACAATAAAACCAGCTCTCTTAGAGGACAATTCCAATGTGACAAATTCAAGTGTCAGCTCAGTCTGTGCTAGAACAATTCTGGTAATTAGAATTACACACGGGCACTCAGCACATGAGCTAAAACCAGGGACAGGGCTTGTCAGAACTCCTCATGGGGAGCACACGGACACACGGTTCCCTTGGGGAAGGACAGGAAGCGTTTCCTGGGGGCTGGAAAACTGAGGAAGGACACTGAATTCTCCCTCCGGACGTTTCAGTGGATGCCCATCTCTGATGAAGAGGCAGGATTCAAACATTCAATTTTGCTTAAGTGGTCAGTGTGTTTATAAAGAAAATTCATTGCAGTAGAATATTGTCAGCAAAGCACATTTGCAATCTGCCTTTAAATTATAGACAGAAAGACCAGGACACAAGCAACTAACACCGCCGAAACTTTACACAGCTTTTGCTGCTCAGAATATTAAAAATTACCTGTGTAAAAAATCACTGTAAATAACCCAAATACAAAAGAGAAAACAGCAAGCTGCACAAGAGGCTACAGCCACTTCATCCTCCACATCATCCTCTCAGCCAGCACCACCATTCATTCATCACTCCCCATGGCATTACCCTAGGCACATGCTGCAGCGGTATGAATCATGCACCATTTACTGAACAATTAAATGGACTTCTAATAAACAGCAGAATATGATCCTAAGATCGTTACCATGAAAACTAGAACGCTACCACATAGGTAACTTGATCAAAATGTATCATGTTATGAGGGGGTTTTGCAGTGCAAGGCAAACAAAAAAGGATTTGTTTGTAGACGATATTTTCACATCTTAAAACAGAGAAATTTTACAAACTGGGGTGGTGGAGGGGAAGGTAATACACCCAAAAATGCTGAATTAGAGAATCTGTTTCCAAATCGCTTCTTACAGACACGAAAGGGTTGCTATATGATAAAGACAGTCTTATACAAAAAGCACATGCGAGAGCAAAATTAGATTAGTCATGAATTCAAGTGCAATCTTAATCATCGTTAAATAAAAAAGTGCAGAAAAGCAAAAAGCAAATATGATTTAGAAACTTAAAGAAGCTCAACAAAGCCTATTAACACTTTTGACAGATCCAAAGATAACTCTGAAACCACCAATACTTGGCTTGAGAAGCCTGCCAAGATGCTTCATACTGTGCAAAAATATGTTCCACAGCTTGCCATCCAAACACAAAGAACTGCAGAAAAATTAAGCATTGTATTTGGGAGACTTCTGTACCAGTATCTAGACAGATAAAAACTAAGCTCATTATGGTTGGCTTCAAAGATGTTAATACAAAACAATCAGCCGGGTCTTTGTTACAGAAAAGCTACAGCCACAGACAGGTAGACTCAAAGAAGAAAAAAAAGCCAACACGTTTTGCCAAAAACCTATTAAACTATCATGTACTTTTTCTGTATTTCTCATCCCATCTGTGCTGATTAGCATGATATTTTTGTCTAAACATAAGCTGTCTTCTCTACGGCTCCTCTTCCCCCTCTCACCCATCTTTCCACAACGCCAAAACACAGCGCATGACGACACAATTACTGCAAGTCGCGTGAATTAAAAGAATTTTTAAGTAGCTCTGAACTCTCTTTGATGCCACCCAAATTTCGGGCATGGCAAGAGGAGCCTATAACTCCCGTGTTCTGCCTGGAGATGGGCAGGGATGTGTGTTGCCTTACCATATAAGGCAACAGTATCCACCAGCAAGAGGAAAACAGACACGGGGACCTGATTTGCAATTACTCTTCATCAAGTTTATTGTAGTGAAATTCTGGCTTTGACACACAAATGTACCTTCAGAAGGAAAAATCTCCAAGGTTTCAGTCTCCTCCGCACTCAGAAATTTGCCAGTGACACCTGCGAAGCATGTGGGCTGTATGGTAATGTATTGATACTGGGGAAATTCACGTGCTAGCTCTAAGTTTTATTTATAAGAAAGCTGTCATCTTTGAAGATGAAATTGGGACTTACACATGTATTTTGAAAGACATGTCTCGTAAGTGACAAAACCATGAATGAGTTAAATAAATACAAATGAAAGGGTTCCAATTTGCAGTATAATTGTTGTGGATTTTGTTCCTTAGGATTTAAACCTGTCTTGGGAGAGCAAAAAGTGGGATTTTCACAATAAAATTCGGCAACAGGCACCCCACTCCTCTCAAAACTCATTGAAAGTGCCACAAAATTCCCTTACACTCCTTTCAGAGTTCATTCCTACACCAATCACCTATGTGATCATTTGCTATCCCATAGCAGTAAATGCACATGCACACCGACTTCTGAGATTAAAAAAATACATTCACGTACTTCTCTTCCTCCATCATCTAATGAAGAATGCAAGTAACTGTTACATAGAAGTGTCCATGCCAAGCGTTTTCGTGACACACTAAACATCCTATCTGACACAAAGGGAGATAATTCCAAGAAGTCTGCTAACCTTCCCAATAGAGTTCAGTGCAGCTCTCCATTAATCACAATATACAACTTCAAAGTTTGGCACCACTAAAACTTCTGCTAACACGGCTTTTAAAATGTAATTACTGATGAGATACGTAGAATTTTGAAGAAATCAGGCCAATTGATTAAAATCCTTGAAGATTTCTGCTCATTTAATGTCTTTGTATTATTTCCTAATATGCTTCAATTCTACATGAAAGCTGCACCAACAGGGAGATAAAGTCCTCATAAGAAATCACACAATACTCATTAGAAAAAAGTAAACAAACAAAATGCCTGAGAAATGGAAGACAATCAGCTACAACAACAGATAGACCAATGGATTTTATTATTAATACTTTTCTTTCTTATAATGAGCCCAAGTTTTTTAAATTTGGGAGTGTGTATAGATCTCTATATGGGCATACCTATCTGTTAACTGAATGAAATGTTCGTCCACTTCTATTGGCAGAGGTGCCCTGGTTCCCCCCAGCCACTGCACAGAGCCCGTCCCTGCCAGGACCCTGCATGGGAGCAGCCCCGTCTCTCTGGGGCACATCAGCACCACCCCATGGTTCACTGGGGAGCTTTTCAGCATCACTTGGCACTCGCTCCCGTTCGGCTTTCAAAGGGTTTCCAGCTCCTCCTGGCCCAAGGCCTCTGCCTTTATTCAACGGCCTTTGATTCCTGAGCACCCACCACATCTCCTG